TATTCTAAATTGCAATTACTCCAATCTTACAATGAATAAGATTTTTTTATATCAGATAAATTTTTTTGGAAAATCCTCTAGTTTTTTAAGTATGGTAATATTTAAATTTTATTTGTAATATTATTACAATTTTGATATTTATTTAAGTAATTATTTAACCTTTGCAAGACATATTACTTTATTATAAATATAATGCTTACTGATACGTTTCTAGCGTGGAAAATTATATCGATTATAAATGTATAGTATAAGCAATTTGATATGATGGTAATTTTGAAGAGGTTAATAAAAAATAAAATATTTCCTCTGTGTTTTTTTACATATACAGTATTAAATTATTACCAGCTATTAATACAGCCACCGTAAAAAGCCCCCCCCCCCAAAAAAAAAAAAAAAAATTTATACAGCAACCAAAGCAAATATAAATGTTTTGCCAACGCCAGACTTACCTCTCTTGGCTCGCGGACGGCAATGACTCGTGATCTGATCGGGATGGGTGGGAAATACAAATAATAAAATAATAACGAAAAATAACAAGAACAATATACAAGTAATAAAATGAATGTTAACTTTTATTTGAACAAACAGAAAAAAAACTTTGTTACATACATAATAATAACGCAATCCAAAAGAACCCTCTGTCCTTTGCGTAAAATAATAACAAGATAAACAAAATAATAATGATAATAGGAAAGGTACCTCAATAAAAAACAGTGAGTTTTGGATCCTTTGACCGGAGCTGGCAAGTATTCGAAGTTGGACTTGACTCCTCTTGACCCACCGGAACTAGTGAGAAATGTCGGAGTGGTTTTTACACTCGCATCAATGATGTAATGACGAAGAAAAGTAAAACCAATAAAGGCATATATTGAATGATTAAAACTTGTGGCTATTTTCCAACTGGAATAAACTTGACCACAGAACAAAACGGCAACACATACTCTAATATACTAATAATGCGTACACCAACGTATATTCCAGACGAGTAAAGATCGCAAAGGCGCGCAACGTCACAACATTGCCGGACGCCGCACGTTCCAGCTGAACGGCGGCGCTCGATTTCTCGACCAAAGGAGTGTCCATTATCATATACCAACTTGCGCGAACAATAAACCAAAATAAATAGATTTTCTGAGATATAATAACGATACGATTTTTACATTGACCCATTTCTTTTTGTTGTACTCTAGTTATTATAAGGAATGTCTTACACAATTGCTGTATAACAGTTAATATTAAAACGGCTTTTGTCAACATCTTAAAATTACATACAGGCACATTTCTAGATATATTTAAACTATTTAAATGCATTTCATTATTATTTTTATTATTATACCTATAGACTTATTTAATTATGATTTTAAAAATATAAAAAATATGCAAATTTATATTTTATACTTGAAACATTTTTTGTTATAAAATATTCACAGAACTTATTCATGAATACAAGTTTTATACTAATGGAATCTTTAGAATTATTAATTTTATAAATATCCCTTTTCATCAGTTTATTAAAAAAGAAAATAATATATATACAACTTTTTTTTTTTTTATTTATAAATGTATTATTAAGTTTCATTGTTCAAGTTTGCAGTAATTGTTGTTCATTTGAATATATTAATAATTTAATGTAACTTAAAAATATACTTTTTAAATGTTTATTAAATAATGTATTTTTTGCGTCTATAAACAGAATAAAAGAAGATTACATTTGCCTCATGTATTTAGTTACCAAATTTATTATAAAACTGTATTTTGTATCCAAAATATGTATTACTTTTCTGAACTCTTTAAATTATTGATTGCTAAAAATATAAATAGTGTTTATAATCAAAAATCATATAAAAGCTATTTTATTTTTCTTATTAATTTTACGCTTCGGCGATATTTTTATACCCGTTAGTGTATTCATTACAATTTATTAATATAAATTAATACAATAAAATACATTATTATAAATATTTCAGTGATGATAACTATTAAAATTATATTATTTTAATTAATTAATTTTATTGTTTGATAGTGCCGTGCCTAGGGTGAGTGAGAAGTTGCATGTTCACCGGGCTCCATGACCACTAGGACACCAAAAGCTTTTTCATAATCTAAGTAATATTACTAAAAGTTAACCATATTAATTCATATTTTTTTCACGTTCAACGCAACAGTCACAATATTATTAACATTGTCCTGATCGCCAGTATCGACTACCAGTCGACAAATACAGTGTTCACTTTGAATTTTGATGTTTTATAATTTTAACTTTTAACTGGTGACAGGCACGTATCTATGGGGTTTTGACGCCTCCCACTCTCGGAATTTTTACGTATCGGCAAATAGAATCGTAATTCTTTATTATTTAAATCAAATTAAAATACTTTATTATTTAATACTTATGTGTAATTCAAAAATATTATATTCTATTGTGGTACAAAAATAAACCACTGTAGAACGATTGAATTTCAAATAGTATTTTATCGAGGAGACACGATACACGTAAGAAACGTAGAATAACGTAATTTATTATCTAACAATATTATACGGGTATTTTATTTGAAACTTGACCAGAATTTGCTTTAAAAAAAGTTATCTAAACTTTAAACTTTCAGCATACCATGTTACGTAGTCTATGTACCTGAAAAAGTAGTTTTGACTAAATATTTAAATATTTGTTACGATGTGAAAAATGGGTAATAGTAAAAAATAATCCATTGAAATTATGGATATTTTAGATGTATGTGAACGTGATCATGAATAATTCGCCAACCAATTGCATGTATTATACAAAAAAGACAAACCGGGGTCGATGGCGATAAAAAATCATTCAATTTTGACCATTCATTCCTAATCCGATAGTATGCGGTTGATAGTGCCGGATCAGTGTCAGGTGGCGTGTAGCTCGTTAATATTTACTAAACGTTAAACAAACATTCAAGTATAATCTGGTTTCTAAAGTAAAAAAAAACCTTCACTACATAAGCCCGTGTAAATTTCCCGGTGTATGCAACAGCAACACTGTAGTGTTGTATTAATCGTTGTAGTGCTGTAGGTAATCGATGTAAAACGAAACAGTGAAACGCAGCTGCTGTATATATAGCCTGTAGGACGTAGGTATTGAACATTATAATAAAGCACATCTGTATCCAATATCGTTTGACCGTTTCTATTGTTCTGCGTACATTTCTCGTTATATTATATCATACCATACACAATATTGATTCGTTTACGCTCGCAATCGCTTGAAGGTTAGTTTCTGCTTGAATCCAAAAGTCCGCCGGGAACGCGAATCAATAGTTATATATTAAATTAAATGCTGTTATTAAAGGCGTTAAAACGAAGTTTTAATTTCAAAACATCGTTCAAATTACAAAATATTAACAATATAATATTGATGAATTATGCGTAGTTAAAAACTAAGGATCTAACCAACTGTAGTTAGCTGAGTATCCAGTATAACAATCACGTTAGTTTTAGATTTTTACGTTGCTGATTTAATTTTCTACATGCCCAGGGGTCGTCGGATTTCGTAATTGAAAAACGTGTTTGGGGCGGTTATATTTCGTTTGTCGCCGCAGGCTGCTGCGTCATTGACTGCACAACGATTTGTGCTAGAATTAGGTATTTATTGGTGCAGTATGAACACCTATGTAATAATCAATATATGAAAATTTTGAGGAAATCCGACATGGATAAAATTGCACATGATGTGTCTAGTGCAGTGCAGAGTAGACATGTGGCAACAATAGAACGCATAATTGATACATTGATACATATTTTATATTATATTGTTTTTAATATAATATAATAAGAATAACTATATTTATATTATTATATCAACTTGGCAACTGGATGATTCTTTGCCCACGTACATGATGTTGTGATAAGATGCGTACCTATTATACAATATTATGTACAATAATATCATCGTCTGTGTAATGGCTTGTGCTATGGCCACTATACTATAAGCTGTAGCTTGTGGGACGAAAGGCGATTTCGCTTAGAAACGAATCCATTAGAAGAGACGCTCGCTGAGAAGTTTCTATAAAATATTATACTCAGCCTCACCCTTACCACCTTCACATGCAAACGTACACTTATTGCCGATACTTTTTCTCGCACGCCACTCTCGTGTGGCCCCCATGTATTATATTCAATCATACAGCTTTATACCTATGAGTTATATATATATAGTGTGTGGCGTGCGAACAAAAAAACGAGTGTTTTGAATTTAAATGCTTCCGACACTAGATGCTCACTATTTAAATGGAAAAATACCTGAAGGATTAACAATATTTTTTAAGTGCGTGTAAGTTCTTTTACGTATATTGGTTTACTAGAACAAAACGTACGTATGATATTTTGAATAATCGCATAAACCGATAATGTAATGTATATTTTGATTGCATGAATTCATTATAATATACCTACCTACTCGACACTCGCTGTATTTAATGTAGTTAATAACAGTGATTTATTTTTAGTGATATTCCTATGAATTTATGTGTTATATTATTTGCGAGAAATATTTATGACAATTTTCGTACAATAGAAATCGATTTAAAATATTTGTACGGTTATTAAGTATAGTTTATTCGTCGTAATTAACATGAATATTATTATATTCTACTCTAACTGAATATTGTATGTGTCTAATGGGGAATTTATAATACACCAGGGTGGTATGTATGAATTAATCAGGTACATGTTCCGTTTTCAGTTGTTCGGCATCTGTAGTTTAATATTCAAAATACATGTTCATTGTATCATAAAATTGTGTCAATTTTACTATTTTATAACATTTAATAATGTAATGGGATTCACGAGGACGGAAACATTAATTTGTCAAGCATTTCATTAATATAATATTATGCTGTACTCAGTTTGCATTGATTTATTTAAATATATCCTAATGCCATACAATTTATTATCGTTATATTTTTGTTGTACTGATATCATTCTTATTATACTCGCCTACGATTTTCCTTAATGAGAATTTAATACAGAATTGGAAGGCCTGGAGTGGATGCACAAGTTAGACATGAATTAGAGGCGGCCGTTGTTCAGGTGGAGTTTTTGATGAACGAAGGAGCGTTAATCACGGTAACCGCTGACGATAGTTTACACCTGTGGAATTTCAGACAAAAAAGAGCTGACGTTGTTCACAGTTTAAAATTTCAACGAGAAAGGTAAGGAATATATTATAGGATTTAAAAAAAAACTATTTACTACACTATTTTTTCTTCTATAAATTAATCACAGTACATAATGTTTATTAAGTTTAAAATGCCTATTGTACTATTTAAATGTTTCCAACTGATGGTCAATTGTATTAAATATTGAAATTAATTAAATTATTAAGTTGATGTATAATTTAAATTATATTGGTTATTCTTAAAAAATAGTTCAATAAAAAGCCATTACATATAAGTTGAATTTATTTAAATTTAAAACCTAGTCTCCAATTAGATGCATAGTTTTTCATAGCTAAATACCACGTTATAAATATAAAACTAAACTTTATTATGTAAATATCAATAAAGTATGATGTTCTTGCTGTCTACTATTTCAATTTCTAAATAGGTCACAATGAAAATAATTTGTTGTTATTTTGTTTTCAAAATTGCAATTACTACAATATTTCAAATCATAAACTAAATTCGTTCCAAGAAGTTATACTATATCTACATTTATAAAGGACACAATGCTACATTATTTACAGACTTGTGATTTTATTTACTTACGGTCAGAATTGATTCCATTTGTGTTGTTTTATGTAAATACTATGTATACCATTGTAAGATATTATTATTTTTTTTTTTTTAGAATCACAGTTATACACCTTCCACTCCGTAGCAAGTGGCTGTACGTGGGTTCCGAAAGGGGAAATGTACATTTCGTTAACGTCGAGACGTTTACCCTTTCTGGCTACATAATAAACTGGAATAAAGCTATTGAAGTGTAAGTATAACAATATTTATACGAAGAATTATTCTAAAATACCATTGCCATAGTTAGCCACAAACTTTGTCGGCAGTACGTAAATTTTTATTTATAACGGCGCCCTGATCGCTGCTGGATACCTATAGTGGCGTTGGTTCCATTACTACAATCCATTACTATACCACTCGGTAAATAATCATAAATAATAATAACAATATCGTCGGTGAAATATATACTTACATAATGTCGTATTTCTACTACTTTTAATAAATACCCTCAAAACAAACCAGTGATACAATAAATTGTGCTTAACATTGAATTTCTGTACAAAATTTAAATGTACATTAGAGATTTTCTTCCATTACTGACACTGCTACATATACGGCACGCCAGTTAAGAAAATATGCGTTTGCTTTTTTAAGACGTATCATGTAAACTCGCAATGGACATATTCTTACATACGATATAAACTAAAACTTTGTCTACAAACACACGCGTAATTTTTATATATCTATGTATGTGTGCATCTGGATAATAAAGTTTGCCACATTATACTTGTATGCATAATGTTAGGTTAGATATATTTTAATGATACTCGTATATATATATATATATATATATATATATATATATATGGCAAGTTACTTTTGGTATGTACGAAATCGGCAGTTGTTTCTAGTTAGCGCTGCTCTAGTGAACCGTAATAAGCATATTTTGACGAACGGTTATTCAAGAATTTATCCCTTTGTTCGCGTCTTTTGTGCGAAGCAAGATCAACTTTAAAGTTTTTATGTCAACGAGAAAAACACATAATTCATTTTTTTTTTTAACATTCCGTAGTATAGGTGTATGTAAGTGTTTATAACAATATTTTACAGCAAAGGGAATAGTATAGGTGTTTTTTCTGTTTTATTTTGTGGTTAACACTATAAAATGTGGATGACTTACAAAACATATTGTCATAAGACATGCCTGAAGTATACAACCTATTCAACGGCACCGTGGAATGTATAATATTTGCTAAATATATTCTATTCATATGTATGTATATACATATGATAACATATATTATATCGAAGTAATATTGACGGCAATGGCTACAATAACTGAAAAACGTGAAATTTAATGCGCATTGCACTATACATTTTTCGACGCATGTAACACAATTTAGAAGATTTAACGAGCCCAGCGGTGTTAAACGAAACTAAAAAAAGATAGTCATTGATGATAGTTATCGACTAGAAAAACACACGTCAAAATAGCTATTTTTCTGAATGGCGTGTTTTTTTTTTAATAAGTTCTATATAATTTCACTATTGAATCTTAAACCTGTTTATAGTTTTTTTATTTTTTTGTATAACTTGATCGTAAAAGTTAATACTTTATTCTCATTCCCCAGCGACGCAGTGGATAGTTTATGTTACATACGACATAATATAACAATAATAACATGACAGTAATTCTGGGACTGAGCCGTTTTTATGTTGAATATATAAATAAATTAGGATTTTATAATGATAAATATGACCAGTCAGACTCGGAGTTACATTTGCAAAACTATTTCGATCATTGTGTATTGAAATTGGTAATCACTATTCAATAAAGTAAAAATTATAGAAGTTGTTTTTTGTCATTGTAGGATTATTAAATTCTTTTCATATACAATTTTAATATATTATTTAATGTTCATTACCCTAATATCTCAAAAATAAATATATAGATCAAAAAATATTCTATCAATTTTTTTATTTCATTCGTAACAGATTGTAATCTTAATTTCAATATTTGTACATCTCCCTAAATATTAATAGTTAAATCAATACCGTTATGCGTTAATTTGATTTTCTATGGTTTAGGAAGATGTACAAATGTTGAAACTAGTATTACAAATTGTAACAAATAAAATAAAAATTGATAGACTATTTTTTATTTATTTTTTTTTCTGACATTAAGGTAATTGACTTTAAATAATATGTCCGAACCGTATACGAAAAGCATTTAATAATCCTACGGTAAAACCGAACATTTTCATAATATATGATTTGAGATATTATTTGATGTATTTTAATAAATTAATTTCATTATTAGTCGAATCTACCTACAAAAAAATCAAAAAAAGTATTTAAATTTTTTTGACAAAGCTATAACAAAAACTAGTCATCTCCATGTCGTCGGTAACGATCTTAAAACGCTCGACCACTGGACATTCTTTATTTTTTGTACTGGTCGATGAGCATTTTTGGTACCCATCTTGTTCACAATTTGTGATATCCGAGTTTTTCCGTGATTGTGTAGACAGTAGTATGTTGAAGATGAGGAAATTGATTAACCAGGGCACTACTAATCGTTAATTGACGATCAGATCGCAGTTTTTGCTACACTTGAGAAATGGTTTTGTTGGTAACTGTGCCTGCACGAGTTTAACTGTGTTTCGATGGATCAATATTGAAATATAAACAAATGGTCTTTACTTTTCGAATATAACTCGTAGGTTTCTGTTTAGTATATTTATAGTATTATTAACAAAATATAAATGTTATTTTTTCTCGATTGTGTTTGTAAACGAAGTATATGTGAATATTAACCTTTTTCTATTAATTTTCCTACTTATACTCGTATATTATTATTATGATCTCATACTAAGCATAAAGTCAAAAGCAATAAGAGGATTATCAAGAAAATCTGCTATCTGGGTTATTCATCATCGTATTGTAATATATATACATAATAATTACATATATATAGCCATATAGGTACTCTCACATGGAATCGAGTTATTTTAAAACTATTCAAGTCTCCGAATCTGGGGTGATAGCAGTATAGTTAGAGCATTATTGTTTGTGTAATTAAAATCGTAATTCATTAGACCCATTTTTCACACGTAGCCGCATCCTCACCCATCCTACACATGTTTTATTATACAATGCGCATCTATCAGTTACTACCTTAAAATTCTCCAGCCAACGGGACCAGTTATATTATTGTTTCACTGTGTGACGTCACTCCCACATTCGTACCGCATTGCCCAATTAATAATTTTCCAATTAGATTATAATGTATATCAAGGTAATTTTTTAAACATGCTCACCCCATTTTTATACTTAAATTATGCATGTATTCAAATTTTAAATTTTGGAATTTTTAAATGTAATTAAAGATAATATTTTAAAGTACTTAGATTTTTCACAATATTTAAGGAGTATTCTGTGACGATATCAACTTTGGTTTTTCAAACAAGAGCATATTATGTTTTAAAGCGAAATGTGAATCAGCTAATTTTTCTGAAAATTGTGATGTATTGTAATCGAAATTTGAACGAAAATTTCCGGAGTTATTATCCTTTAAATACTAGGAAATAATGATTATGCTTATATCTATAATCTATAAGATAACATACACGATAAAATAAAAAGGAATTTGTTTTATACTAATTTCCTTTGTTTTGAAAATTGTCAGGTGCAATATTAATCCATAAGCATTTAGGAATAAGTAGTAATTATTAACGAATATTTTATATTGCATACCGAATTATAATTATTAAGCCCGTATTCATTTACCTGAGTATTTGGTATAATAGACTATTATCCTTATTCCCTAATATTTAAAGTAGAATAACTCCGGAAGTTTTCGTTCAAATTTCGATTACAATACATCAATATTTTCAGAAAAATTAACTAATTTACATTTTGGTTTAAAACATGATCTCGTTTGAAAAACCAAAGTTGATATCGCCACAAGATACTCCTTAAATTTTGTGAAAAATCTAAGTACTCTAAAATATTGTCTTTAATTACATTTAAAATTTTCAAAAATCAAAATTTGAATATATGCATAATTTAAGCATACAAATTGGATGAGTATGCTTAAAAAAACACCCAAATATTACCCTTATCTTCTATTTAACTCTCATTAAACCAATTTTATGACATACAACACTATATGATATATGATATATAGTATTTGTGGGTACGGACTTAGTATTTTTATAGCACTCTTATCAACCGCTTAATGTGTGTATGTGTATTTAATTATATAAAGAAGATATCTACAAACCACACGTTTTTGTATAATTAAATTTCTATGATTTATAGATATTTCATGAAACTTGTTTCGTATCGTATCGGTAGTGTAGTTGAAAATAATAATGAAAAAGTAAATGTATAAAATATTAAATAGGTATACGCATAGTTGTTAAATATTTTTATCCAATAATTAGATTTTATGAAAAATGTCATGAGATAAATTCAAATATTTATAAATGTAGGTAGTAGGTAAGTAGTTATTTTTAGAGTAAAAACTGAAACCAAATGACTAATAGTTTTGTTTTTAATGCCATTCAAATTTCAAAATGTATTATTCGAAATTTAATTATTTTGTCTGTTGTTGAAAATGCATTACAAACGAGCCCTTAAATAGATCCTTTAGAAACGATTTGCTCAAGGCAACGAATTCAAAGAATGTAGTTTTAGGGCTTTGTACCTACCTTTTCTTGAGAGAAATGTGAACAAAAGCTAAATTATTTGACCAGATGTAATATGTATTTTATAAAAGTTTTGTATTTTAATTTTTGTCTTTCAGACTCTGACATTGTGTTTATAACAACGATTTCATGGGGTTATTCGAATATGTTTTCAAACAATAGTGTAAGATAATATGTAGTAGGGCCATGTAAAAAAAAAAAATTAAATTAAAGCCATTAATGAGCCAAGGAAAGTAAACAAAGTAAATTTAAAAAAAATGTAACTTTATTTTTAATAATTTCGGTCGAAACTTATGTTTTTATTTTTATTTTTTCACATCAAATTGTACAATACTAGTTCATTGTTGATACAATAACTTTATTACCTACAGTGGGTTACGAAAACGTCAAATTTAAATAACGAACATTATTATTTAGAGTATACAACTCCATAAAACCTGCCACGATCATGATACAGAAGTTATTCTCCATTAGAGCACAGATGTAGTTCTCTTAGAGATAACCAGCATCGCTAGAAAAGTGTTATTGAGGAACTGCC